ATTTGGCTCATCTGTTTCCTTCAACAGTGAAGAGTTATTTGCTGCACATTCCAATGTCTGGATCATGTGGCTGTGCATTTCCTTCTCACATTTAATCTTTTCCATGCTGTCTCTAATAGAAACAATTATTTCTATGTCTCCAGAGCTGAATAAGCTGTTAATTTCATCAACTACATCCTGTGAGTCACTGCCATCAGCTTTCAGCTTTTTATTCTTCTCAGCCAGGTCTTCAATCAAATAGTATTTTTCAAGGATAAGACTCAGCCCGTAGTCCACCAGCGGTGTATCGGTGTTCTTGTATTTAATGCTGTATAGGTCATCGAGAGTGTAGCACGCTCTCTCTGAGGAGTACATTTCAAAAATATCCGCTAAGGACATTATATTGGACAGATAGCAGAAATTCTTTCGGTCTAGGCTTTCTGAGGTGAACTGAAGCAGGCCTTTCAGGCTTGAAAACTTTTCATCATCAATCTGTAGCTTGCAGGTTCTGGGGCTTAGATCACCACTGACAACATCTGCAGCGCCATCCTTTCTGCAAATCCCATGCTCTGAATTGTATATAACCGGGTTCTTTTCAACAATGCAGTTGATCAGATCAATAGCTTTGTCCTTAATTAAGCTATCATTTCCGCTGCTTAATGCGGAATACAAGTTATTTGTAACTTCTTTTCCAAAAGAATCATGCATAAAGTAATCACATATTCTAGTCTTAGCTATATTTAGGATGTCTTCTCTTTCTTCCTCACTGCATCTGCCTTCTATTTCTAGGTTCTTATCAAGTATTTCCTTAAGCATAGCAAAACATCTTATTATATTGGTTGTTGAATCGTCCACAGATGGTATAGTGTACTTTTTGCTGATAGACTGATATCCCTGCACTATTCCCTCCACATTTACCTTCAAATTAACCTCTCTTTTGATCATTCTAAAAGTTTTAATTGAAAAAATATTTAAAAGGGTAGGGCTTCTCAAGGCAGGAATATTTTATTTTATTTTTCATTACGCATTATAAATACTGTGGATGCTATCCTATATAGATTGTGGAACAAAAATAGCCAAAATAAAATATGCAATGGTGGAAATACTCATAAGCTAGAAAGTAATTTATTTTGAGCACTAACTGACCAGGGCCAGATATCTCAAGATATGCTCGGGTTGCCTATGTTTCCTAGCTGGCTGCTGTCCACGACGTGGTACAAGCTATCATTAATTCCAGCAGTCATTGGATTACTCTTCGAATGATGAATGAAAAATAGAGTTGGCACTGCTGCCAGGACAATAGTACCGGATAGTATTTTTCCAACTGTGCTCTTTTGGCTTGCTAGAGCTGACAAAGTGAACTTCCTCTTTTTAGGTATTTCGTCTGTCCTGTCGTCTCCATCTGCTACTACGTTTATGCCGTATACTTTCCCCAGTTCCTGCAGCTTCTCGAAGATGTACTGTCTTTGGACTGGCTTTATTTCAGACAAGTTAGAAAGCGGATATTCACTACGAATGTTATTGTGCTGCAAATGTTCTCTTTCTATCTGCCAGTATAGTAGGTGTAGTTTATTATCCAGATAGTTGACTTTTTGTTCTATGTTTTCCAAAGCCTTCTTTTCTTCTTCTGTTTGAATGTATCTCTGAGAAATGTGGGTAAATATGTTTTTCTTTTTCTGCAGCTTTTCTCTTATTTTTTTTGCCTCAGTTCGAGAGTCAAAAGTTGCGCTTCTTTCTCTGCACAGCTCACGTCTTTCTTCCATCATTTCTGCTTTCAAGCCTTCTTTGTTTATGTACTTCTCATAAAAGTTGCTAAAGTCAGGCTTTATCATCAGCGTTTTCATCCTGTTCTTTTCTTCCAAACGCATATTTTTACTTGCCATGTACTCAAGTGTTTTAATCATCTGGTCGTGCATTTGTCTCTCGAAATAAATGTCTTCAATATTGTTGAAGATGGAAATAGCTATTTTTAAGTCTTCCTCGGTAAACACTTTGCTGACTTTCTCGATTATCTGCACACTGATAGTATAGGCCGACTCTTCCTCTTCAGCTTCCTCGAGCAGGTCTCTAATTTCGAGGGCCTTCTCCAAAATAAAATTTAGCCCGTAGTCCACCAGAGCTACATTAGCACTTTCGTGCTTTTTGGTGTACAGCTCGTCTAGCGTGTAGAATGTTTCGTCAGCGAGGAACTTCTTCAAAATAGATATCTTCGATAAAAGCTCGAAATTAAATCTACAATAGAGAAACTCTCTTTCCAGATTTCCTGCGGTAAACCAAAACAGACTCTTCAAGCTCTCGAACTTTGTGTCGTCAATTTCCAGTGTGTACTCCCGGGTGCCCAGGCCAGCGCTTTCATGATCTGGCTCTATATTGTCAACCGCTTCATTCATGCCATGCTTTCTGCGAATCCCGTGCTCTGGGTTGTATATAAACGTGTTTGGCGGTGCAATAACTTCGTTCATTATGCAAATAGGCTTGAATTCAGCCAATCTGTCCCCTCCATACTTTATTACTGTGTATAACCAATGCATAGGGCCTTCTCTGTCTACATCGTACACAAAGTGTTTGTAAATGTTGTTCTTAATTGTGTTTAAAATGTACTCTCTTTCTTTTTCGGTGCACTGGTCTGTTTCTCTCCCGCTGTCCTGAACATTTTCTATTGTCATAGTCCCATCAAATATGTGTCTTAGTATGCTCAAGTAGCACACATCATCATTGAGTTCAATAACCTTTTTCATGCCGGGTATGTGAATAAAAGATCGGCATGCCCTAGTCATTCCGTCTAGATCTACCTTTAATTTAACCTCTCTCATAGTTCCTAGAAAAATTTTAGCGCAAAAATATTTTAGAAATCAGGAGCAAATTTTCCAAGAGAGTATTCTAATTTATTTTAATTTAATTGCAGCTCACCTTACATTCTTGCAGAAAACAGGCAAAAGTATGCTTGTGAGCTGTGTAAATGTGGTTTATTTTGGATGCTGGCTGGCTGAAAATATCTCGCTCACGAAGTCTCTTCTCAGACTGTGCTTATAGCGTGCTTTTTCTTTGCAGCTTGTAGCTAATTTAGAAGACCAGTCTTTATGCTGCCCACTAGATTTTTAATGCTTGATATGATTATTAGTACTGCAATAGCTCCCATTGCTACCACGAAAATATTTTCTAACATTGGCAGATTCTTAACCAGGTCTTCTCGAGGTATTCTTACAAAGAAGAACTTCAGCACCACTTCTGTCTTCACGCCTTTTCTTAGCGCTTCTTCTTCTATCTTTTTGACTATGTGGTATTTCTGGATCTGTTTTATGCTGGTCAAAGATGCCAAGTTGTCTTTAATATTATCAAGCTGCAGCCGCTCCTTTTTCACGCTGCATTCTAAGGAGTATATTTCGTTGTCTAGCTTGTCGATAGAGCAGGCTAGCTCGTTAATCACTGCATCGCTCTTTTTCTCATTTATTGCCTGGTCTCGGGCTGTTATCTTTTCCTTTCGAATTGTCTTCTTGTTATTTATCTGTGTAACTAACTCATCTTTTCTTCCATTGACTATGCTATACAGACCTCTATCCCCATCTATGTACTCTTCGTAAAACTCAGTCAAGTCTGTGTTTATCTTCAACACCTTTTGCCCATCTGGCCCGTTCAAGCGATCAGTGCTGCTCGCTATGTACTCTATTGCATCAAGTATGCCTTTCTGTACTGTTTTTTCTTCTTTTATTTCATCTATGTTGTCAAAGATAGAAATAGCCAATGCCAGCTCGTTCTGGGTAAGTACATTGCTAACTCTGTCAAGTATCAGCTCTCTATCGCTGGAGCTATTTTCCAGCTCTTCAACCTTCTCAACTAGGTCTGCAAGGTTGTGGTATTTTGTGTATACAAGCTTCAGCCCAGAGTCCACGAGCAGTGTACTATTTTCTTCATCTGGCGTATACAATTTATTCAAAGTGTAGAGTTTTTTTTCTGTCAAGTATTTTTTTAAAATATTTATGTCCAGACTCTTGGAGTGCACTAGAGTAGAAATGGAGAAGAAAAGATCGCGGAGCGCGCTCTCTGCGGTGGACCCAAGCAAAACTTTCAAGCCTAAAGAGTCTGCAGCATCAATCTGCAGGGTGTATGTTCTAGTGCGGTGATCAATGCTTTTATCAGGCTGTTCTATATTCTCCAACGGCTTATTCTCGTCTACCTGTTTGTGCATCCCACATTCTGGGCTGTATATAAGCGTGTTTTGTCTTATAGCTTCATTGATTAGACAGATAGCCCAATATGCAATTTCTTCCTCGTTTCCACCCTTCAATTCGCTGTATAAATTGTTCATAATTGCCACGCCGTACGAGTTGTATGCAAAGTACTGGCGAATTCTATTCTTAACCATAGCAGCGATAGCACTCGCTTCTTCAGCGCCAGCTGCACATTCTACTTCTATGTTACCGCTCCCGAATATGTGGTTTAGTATGTTTATGTAGTCTTTTGGGGCGTCGTATTTCAGAAGATTATCAGTGGTTTTAATAGACTTGCATTTTTGCATTATTCCCCAGGCCTTTATCTTCAGTATAGCTTCTATCATTCTCCTTACGACAGTTTTAGTTACGGGAGTATTTAGAGCTGAGCATTACTTTTAATCTGTATGATTGGTGCTGTTATCACACTTAATTGGCATGGTTTTATGAGAGCGTTTAATTGGCTTACTGTGCACTAATTGTTATTAGTTATTGGATCTTCTATGCATTAGACCATGTGTTCTATTGATCAATTCATTGATGCAGTGATTAGTCTAGTATCTGTGGCTGATTTGCCATTCAACAAATCATCAAGTGTTCTGTATATTCTCGCTGAAAAATAGATAAATATATAGCAGGCTGTGTGTAGAGATAGTCGCAGTTTATTTTGGATGTGACTGATGAGGAACACCTATTTCAAGTGGCTACAGCTAGCCATTGCCTTGAGGCTCTATTGCACGACAAGCACTCTTTGTAGCTAGAGACTAGTTGTTGCTTGCAAGATTTATTTCGCCTCTTGAACGGACAACAAATAATATTGAGAGTGTAAGAAAAATGCCCATTCCTATGTATATTAAAATATTTTTTGTTTTTGTTAGCTTGCTTTCCTCTGCTACCTGTTCTACTTCTACATGCATGCCCCACTTGTTTCCAAAGTCTTTTAGCTTTTCAAGCATGTAATTTCTCTGAGCAGGGGTTGTATAGCGCAAATTGTACAGGTTTTCACGAATGTTACTAATTTGTAGCTCCTCTTTTTTTCTATCGTACTGCAGCGAGCATATTTCATTTTCTATGTTGTTGATGGAAGGTTTGAGCTTCTCAGCCTCTTCATCGCTTTTCTCCTCTCCTATTATCTGGGCTCGCGCGCTCTCCTGACTGCTTATTTCTGCATCTATTCGGGCAATTTCCTGGTACACTTTCTGCTTTAAGCCCCCGCTTCTGCTTATATAGTCTTTATCAAAGTTGCTTAAATTGCTATTTATCTTCAGCACTTTTGGCTCGTTTGCTGCGCCCAGGAGTTCAGTTTTATGTCCTATGTATTTTATGTTACTAATCATGCTTCTGTACGATGTTTTTTCGATTTTGATTTCTTGTATGTTATCAACGATAGAGAAAAATATTTTTAGGTCCTCTTCTGTAGTAAACACTTTTTTAAATTCTCTAATTACCTCTGGCCTAGTGCTGGGAACAGTCTCCATGTGTTTAAGTTTCTCAATAAGGTCTATAATATCAGCATATTTTTCAGAAATAAAGGACAGTCCACTATCCACTAGGGCTGTATTATTGTCTTCTGAGTTATACAGCTCTTCTAAATTGTATTTTTCTTGTGTTTGTGCATATTTTTTTAAAATATTTGTGTCTTCTTTCTTTAGTTCTATTAAGTCGATGGTGTGGGAGAGAAAATCTTCATCCATATTCTCTTTGGTAGACTCAACTAAGCCTTCCAAGCCTGAGGATTTTGTGTCGTCAATCTGCAGCGTGTATGTTCTAGAGCTTAGGTCGTTAATACCATCAGCCTGGGCTATGTTTTCTAGCACTCCATTCTTGCCAGGCTGTCTGTGTATCCCGTACTCTGGGCTATATATGAGAGTGTTTGGCTTTACAAGTTCATTGGCTAGAGAGATGCATTCGGATCGAGCTATATCTTTATCTCCTGCCTTCAGTGCTGTGTGCAGTTTAGACATAATTTCTCGTGCGTTTTGATTAACCATAATGTGCTGGTAGGTTCGGTTTCTAATGATAGCTAGGACATTATTCTTCAGATTGCTGTTTTCACTGTCTATTTTTATATTATTGTCAAATAGATGTGATAGTATATCTGCATAGCAATTTGATGTATTGTATTTCAGGATTTTATCAGTGGACTTAAAAGTCAGGCATGCTTGGAGCATTCCTCTTATATCTATACTTAGTTTGACTTCTTTCATTCTCCTTACAACAGTTTTAATTACGGGAGTATTTAAAGCTGAGAATTTTTCTCGGGTTATATGATTGGTACCTTTATCACACTTTATTGGCATGGTTTTATGAGAGCGTTTAATTGGCTTACTATATACTAATTATTACTAGTTATTGGATCATCCATGCATTAAACTATGTGCTCTATTGACTAATTTATTCATGCTGTGATTAGTTTAATATTTATAGAATTTAGTAACAGTGTAAAAAATAAAAATAAAAAGTGGAGGGTGCATGGTAGAAGGAGAATGATTGAATAGCACTTTTATTCTCGGGTTATTATGCATAGTTAAGACATGTATTAACTAGTAGAAGTACTATTTTAACGAAGGGAGCTCTCTCTTGGTGGATTTAGCTAGGCTCAGGCAGATCATCCTGCTTTGTTCTCATTCTTATGTTCTTATCATAAGAAATTCTCAAATTATCAACAAAATTATAAGCTATAGGCATATATTTATTGTTATCTTCTTTTCTGAGAATGATGTCTACATTTGGCGAGAAGCATGCTTTAATGCACTCTGCAATATACCTTGCCCATACCAGTTCATTGTCAGTCACTTTTATTGCGTGCGGTCTGATTTCAACTGTGTTAGGGTTTATTTGAGTAAACAGCCTATAGTTATCGCCAGATTTATTGTCCAAATCGTCAAGATGCTTGTAGCGCATGCATATGTACCATAGAGGATGAGTGTACGACATGTCAAATGGAACAGCCAAACTGTCTGAATACTGGGCATCTGAGTTGGCCAGTGGTGCCATAGCAGCGTCATACATCCAGTTAGCAAACTCAAAGCTACACTGAATTGCTATAAATTCATTAATCCCAATGCCAATGTCTTTATAGACTTCTCTAATCATATTTCTTAAACAAGTTTTACCCGTATAACCACCCCATACATAGGTTAAAACATTAAGTATTTCATCTTGTTTTATGTTTTCAGCTATACCAAACAACTCTTCACTACTAATTTTGTATTCTACTGGGTCAAATTCATTTTCTATAGCCTTTCCTAGATTGCGGAGTACAGTGTTGCTCTTGTAGTCCATAAGGCGCGCGCTCATTATATATTCGATCACTATCAGCTTTACAACGTGTAGAGATGTAATGCCTGTATACTGGATTACTTCTTCTTCAGAAAGGTTCTCTTTGAGCAGGCTAATGTAAACATTCATTATTTCACTGTCTACTAGGGGCACATCAGATGCCTCCATTGGATGTATGTTGAATAGCAGACCGAAATTTGCATCTGCTGAAATGTATAAATTAATTTTATGATTTTTCACGTCTTTCTTTACAGCTCTCACGAAAAGCTCCACATTGCTCTTTGGAACAAAACCTGATGCAATTTTTTTATGTATTAGAGTGATTAGCCCTTCCTCTACGGCATCGTCCATTAGCTGAGATAGGCTTATGCTTGATAGAGCATATATTATATTAGCAGCCAGGATTTTATTGCTTTTTGCCAGCTTGAAGAGAGCTAGCCTGTCGAGACTGCTCTTCTCTACTCCGCTGCGCTCTTCTATTTCCTCTACCATGTGAAAGTCGTAGCTGTTTATTTTCTTTGTTAGCGAAGTGCTGATGTCAAGAGAGGGTATGATTATCTCAGTCAGTCTCTTTGAGCCGTCTTTGATTCTAGCCTCAAGTGTTAGGGCCTTGTCAAGAGCAGAGCCCTCATTGTCAATATATTTGTATAACCCAAGTATTGAGCTAGAAAGCTCTATAATTTGGCTAGACTCTCCCCTAAGGGTCTCAAGCTCTTCCATCATGGCATTTATTCTCCTTTCCATCTCGGTGCTTTTCTCGAAGAGATTGTCCGAGTTCAGTGCCAGAGCCTCAGAGTTGGAAGCTCTGAAGTCTGCAAAGAGCCCTATGCGCAGAACAATTTCTTTTTCAAAATAGGATAGTCTATTTTTCCAATAGTTATTTATGCTTTCCACATCGATTTCACTTAGCTCACA